GGCGCATCCGCTCGCGCCGCCGTTTCGGTGCGGCCGCCCGTGCAAAGCGCCATGCAAAGCCCATGCGCTGACCCTGCAGCTCACAGCCCCCCTGAGGACCTTTTCCGTCGGTTCTTAGCCCCTTCGGGGGTCTCGCACCGTGCGGGTAAGTGATCGGGGCAGCTGCCTCTGGCAAGACTTGGCCCCGGGATGCGCTTCCCAAGCACTGAGCACGATGTGCAATTTCTCTTGTTGCAGATGGAAGAGAAACGACGCAAGTACTCGATCAGCAGTGATAACTCGGACACCACTGACAGTAAGACCCTTAATCGAGGCTTTGGACGAGATAACTAAGGGATCCTGTCAATACCAGCTGGAGCATCTGGCTCCGGGCTCCCCGGCATGATGAGGAGTCTGGGAGACGGGGAGCTGCTGGTTGCAAATCTGCCAACGGAGCAGAACCCTCTGCAGACGCGTTGTCCTCTTGTGTAGCCTGGGGCCGGTGGCTTTTGCTGTCCTGGTGTAAAAAGCAGTGGAGTGGAGCCCGGACAGAAGGGGACCCTGTGCATTTCCCTCCTGGGATCTCAGGATACAGGAAAGGGATAGTTGGGCCTCAAGTCTGGAAAGCTCCCGCTCCCACGGTTGCTTTTAAACCTCCACCTCGCTTCATCGTCACTCAGTGCAGCCCAGAAACATGTGCTTAACAATAACCATGTGCAAATGTGCTGGATTTGGGCTATGAATAGAGCTCTCCCCTCCCGCTGCAGCAGCACCCCGGGTTATCCGTCCCCCTTGGCTGCTCCTGCTGCTTTCCTGCCAGTTGCTCCTGGTTTCTTATGGACGTCACCGCAATTTTGCCCACACTTTGTTGGGAATTTGCTCTCCTGGTATGTGCCCAGCTGCACAGCTGGGAACAAGAGGGACTTTGCTAAAGACGTGGAACGCCTGGGGCCTTTCCCTGCCAGGAGGATGGGGAGATCAGTGGGATTTGGGAAAGCGGCTCTTGCAGCAGTCCCGGACCTTGCACGGTCACTGCGACCACCGGGGCTGGGGACGGAGCTGCGGGAATGCTCGGCTGCTTCCGCAGGTAACTCCTCTCTCGCCTCCCGCAGGCCACACCACGTCCGCGTCGAGATGCTCCAAAATCCCCGCTACCAAGTCCAGCTGGTCCAGGCAGAAGGAGAAGAAGCCCTCAGAGGTAGGTAGCTCTTCAGGCTTGCTCTGAGCTCGTGCTTCCCCCCAAAGCTGGGGCACTTTCTGGCAGAGCCCTGGACAGGCGCATTCTTCTCATGGCAGATGGATGTTCCCAGCCTTGGGCTTGGTGCCAGGTTGGTGCCCTGTGGGTGCCAGGAGGATCCATGGGGATGAGAGGGCAGCAGGGATGGAGGGGATGATGTGGTTCCTGTCATGGGGCTCTGGATCTCCCTGCCCTGCACCAACACCTGTGGCTGGGGCTCGCTGGGCTTGGAAGAAGGTGAATCCGGCAGGGAACCCTCGGCCAGAATGAGCCCCGCTCCGGGCACCCCGGCAGGTCCGGGGCACGCGAAGCCCTGCGGCAGCCCCAGCTCACGTCGGGCTGCGCGGAGGTTTTGAGGTTTTCCTGTGGTCAGCGCCGAGCTGCAGCTGCGCTGGGTCGTGCCGAGGCGGCGGAGGGACCCGCGCGGTTCTGGATGCTGCTGTGGAAGCACCGACCCGCACGGGGCAGGGGCAGCGGATGAGCCTCCGGGAGCCGTGTGCCTGCGGATGGGCTGGATCCAGGGACTGCTGTGTCCAGGAAAACCTCCCCTGGGAGAGCCTGGGCCAGGGATTCTCCTCCTGCATTACCCATGTGGACACGGTTCTGTCTTTGATGTGAATTGCACCTACCGGATACCTAGGAGTTTATCGGGCTACTCATTAAATTTCTGGATATAAATCCAAGACACCGAGCGGAAATACTCCTGGCCTTGGAGCAGGCTCAGAGCCGGATCCCAGTGTTGCTGCTTTCCAACAGCTGGAAGGAAAACCAGGGCTTGGCGCGATGCAGATGTGAGTGGGGTCCCCCGAGGCCGGGCTCGTCCCTCCATTTCACACCGCGGATGCTCCCGGAGGAAATAAAGGAAATAAAGTGGAGCAGAGGCTGAGCAGCAAGCGGCTTACGGCCGCTGGGGACCCGAAACCGAGAGAGCGGCACACGTAGCCTGAAAGTACGGGGGAATTTTGGAGGCAGAGTGTAATTACTCACGCTGGCATTTGGCCAGAACTGCCTTTTGCAAAGTGCAGCTTTGAGTGGTCCAGGCATTGGATCTACCCCCTCATTCTGCAGCTTCTCCGCTTCCGCCGCAGCTCTGAGTCCACCTGGATCTTCCAGTCTCACCTGGAAGCTCCCTTGGACACTTCTGTCCTGCTCTCTGGATCCGCTTCCGAGTCTGGGCTTGGGATCCTTTGTTTGGGAATCACCGTGGAGTGTGGAAATCAGGGCATTTCTCCCGGGAGAACTGAGGGATTTCAGGCACAGAGCAGGTGTAACGAGAATTTGGAAGTTTAGAACATAAAACCCACCCACCACCAAGAAACTCCCTTCCCCCAAACTACAGAAATGCTTCACGTGAAATTATTTCAGGGGAAATACTGAATACCTTTTTCTTCGTTACCACCATCAGCGCGGGGGAGTGTTTCAGAGAATGGAAATTCTGGGAAGGCGGCGCAGAAAACGCGCTACGTTTATTTTGGGTGTTGAAACCCCCTTGGGCTCTCTGAGGAAGCGGAATGGCCTTTGCAAGCAGCAGCCCAGACTCGGGGTTTGCAGAGCACTCATATCTCTGCTTGGGGTTTGCAGGCTGCTCATATGTTTTTGAAGAGCTGGTGCAGCCTCTCCCGGGATCCGACGGCTCCAAGCTGCTGCGTGGATGCTTGAGGGGAGCAGGGAGCAGAGATTTGTAGGGATTTGGGGGAATGAGCTGGGGGGAGCAATGATTTGTAGGGGCAGATAGAGGGGGAAGCAGTGATTTGCAGTGATTTTGGGGAGGATAAGCTGGAGAGGGAGCAACTTGCAGTGATTTGGTGGGGATAAGCTGAGGGGAAGCAAAGATTGGCAGTGATTTTTGACAGGGAATTGCTGGGGAAGGAGCAGTTCACAGTGATTTTGGGGGGATGAGCTGGGGAAGGAGCAATTTTCAATGATTTTTGAGGGAATGAGCTGGAGGGAAGCAGTGATTTACACTCTTGGATAATCTCAGAGCCCTTCTCAGCCATATCCCCATTTCTCAGCGAGCCCGTGGCACCCTCTACATGCCCCAGGACAACGTGAGAGGGAGATAAAAAATCAAAGGCATTAGCATTACATAGCTATTAGCTAGGTCAGGGGGTGATGTTTATTATGAAAGACTCGGCGAGAAAGGATTAACTAGACACACTAAAAACCACCCGGCACAAGGCATCTGGAAAAACAAGCTTCTTAGCATGGAAAAGTACTGAGCTGTTTGTAAACACCCGCGCCGGAGGCTGCGGTTCTGTTATCGGCGCCTGTCGCGGGGCTCTGCGCGGGCTCCTCTGCGCCGGGTCCCTGCGCTGGCCTCTGCTCTGCGTCACCACCAAGGGTTCCTCTCGCCCAACGTCCCCATCACCCTTCGCTGCATCATCCTTCTTCATTCCTGTCTTTCCTGAGGGGGAAAACATGAATTTGAACAGTTGACAGTGTTGTCTGTTTTCCTTGCTGAAACATCCATGTTTGGAAGGATGTCCTTATGTCCCTCTGCAATGATTTGATCCTTCTAGCTGCTGCTTTTAGCTTCCTTTTAACAAACATATGCATTTTTACATCATTTTCCTTTTCAAAAAGTAATTATTATTGCGCTGTGTGCTGCAGTGAGGAGTGCTTGGGAGGGGTTTGTTTTTACTAAAACTTAGAAACGTTCATATAAACGTTTGCATATAAATAAACCCCGGCAGTGGCCAGTACCACTTCCCTCCCTGCTCCAAGGCTAGGAGCAAGCACGGAGATTCTTCTTCTTCCCTAATAACAAACCCTGAAAGCAGCAGGGCCAGCTGGGTGCCAGGGATGCAATTCCTGCTCCTTGGGCTGCCAGGAGGTCAGCACCTTTCCCACCTTATCCATGTGCTTTTCCTGCTTTCTGGGAGCTGCGTGCTGCAAACCTGTGTGCAAATCTGTCGGCTCCAACGAGCGCAGCCGTCCATCCGTCCATCTGTCCGTCCATCCCCGGGAGCTGCCCCTGGGCTCGCACAGCTCTGCAGACTAATCGGAAACGGTGCTAGATGAGCGTTTCTTTAGGTTTAAACACCAAAACACACCCGTCCTCTGAGGAAGCCACATGGCAAATGCGGGTGTGAAAACTGGCAGATGGGCTATTTTTGACGACCTCCAGGGGAGTTTAGTTTCGCCAAGGGAAAACCACCGCAGCTGCGGCTTCCCAAGGGTGGGCTCCGGAGGCAAGGAAAGGCAGCGGGATGGTGCTTGACTCTCGCAGGGGCTTTTCCTATGGCTGCATCTCCAGCTCAGCCCTCATGGCCGCTAAGGAGGAAGGAAAAAGCTGCCCATGGAGCTAAAGAGAGGAGCAATTTGACCTCGTCCTGCTGTGAGGGGCAGCGAGAGCTCCCTAGCATTGGATTTGCCTGTGCTGAGGATCGCTACATCCAGAAGGGTTTCACTCACTTCTTCCTATTTATCCTATGCAGCCCCAGACACCTGCACATGGTGCATCGTAGTGCATTGCTGTACCGTGGGGAAGTGTGGCGGGATTTGGGGGTTCCACCTCTATCCCCATTGCTGAAGCCGAGCTGCAAAGCTGCAGGTGTCTCTTAAGGCCCGTTTTGGGGCTCATCAACCGCATGCCGGGTCTGTGCAAAGCGGGAGCTTGAGCCTAGTGTGTTTTTAATGCACTGGGTAGAGATGGCAGCGCTGTCAGTGGCTCCCTGGTTGCAGCAGAGCAGCCAGAGAGGGAGTTTGATGGGAAGGATCTGTTGACACGGGGCTGCTTTTCCCTTCGGCATCTCTTGCTGAGCAAGCTCAGAGCCATCATTTGGGCCAGTGGAGCTGGGTGGGAAGCCGGCTGGATGCAAGGATGCTCTTCCAGCTGACACATGTCCATACGTATCCGGGGCTACGTGTCCATGTGGGATTGGAGCCGGACGAAGATTTGCTGCACAACATTGCCTTTCTTCCTTTGCGTTCCCTTCAATTTCCCTAATAAAATTAGGGAAATCTGGAAATTCTACCTTGGAAAGAACATGGATGCTGTGGGAATACTTCTGGCAGCTGCATCGGCCACTTCGCTTCCACATGATGCCGGTTTTGTTCTTCATCTGTGCTTGAGATGCCTCCGCCCAGTGCCAGGCACTGCTCTGGTAGAGATGCGGAGACATCGCTCCAGTATGGATGCGGATAGCCTGCTCCAGTATGGATGCGGATAGCCTGCTCCAGTATGGGTGTGGATAGCCTGCCCTGGTATGGATGGTGTGGATAGCCTGTTCTGGTATGGGTGTGGATAGCCTGCTCCGGTATGGGTGTGGATAGCCTGCCCTGGTATGGATGCACAGAACCTTCTCCGGTGTGGATGTGGGTAGCCCACTCCGGTATGGATGTGGATAGCCTGCTCTGGTATCGATGTGGATAGCCCGCTCCAGTACGGATGCAGAGAGCCTGCTCCAGTATGGATGTGGATAGCCTGCTCTGGTATGGATGCAGAGACCCCTCTCCAATCTGAATGCGGATAGCCTGCTCCGGTATGGATGCGCCCGGCTGCAATAGGGAAGCGGAGGAGCCTCTCTGGTGCGGATGTGGATGCCCGCTCCGGTCTGGATGCGGAGAGCCCCGGGAGCAGCGCCGGGGCTGCTGGCGGCAGCAATTAGCAGCCGGGAGGCAGGAGCAGGTTGCTAAGCAGCCGGGGCCGTAAAGGCAATTTGTCAAATCCTGCAGAAGGGAGGAAATAGTAAACAGTTCTTTTGAGGGGAAATTGCCTGTTTTCTGGTGTGCAACTTTCTCTCGCCACCGCCAGGCCCCTCGGTTCATCAGTGCCTGATTTAGCCTTTATTTGGCTTTCATAAATAATTCAGAAGAGTTTGAGAATAATTGAGTCTTTTCCCGGCCCTAATCCCAGACAATTCAAAACAAAACGGCATTTGGGTTACAATTGGGGCATATTAGCTCTTGGGAGATTTCCAGGCGACGGATCCGCTTCCCTTCGCAGTCTTTGTGGTGCTCCGAGCACTTCCCATCGCCCCTGGAAGAAGGGAAGCGCGGGGACCCGGCTGCCCCGGCAAATAGGAATATTGTGGATCCAGGATGCTGGATCTTTTGGGAATTGGCTCAATCGCACATAGCTGCTTTGACGTTAAAACAAGAAGCCAGGAGGGATGGGTCCAGGGGAGAAGATGCTCTCCAGGCTCCCAGCGGAGCATCCTTTGCTGTGCAGCTCCGAGGATAACGCAGGGACAGATTGGTCTGGGAACGCCATTCCCAACTCTCCCGCAG